TTCGGTGCCGTCGCTATGGCGATAGCCGATGCTTCGGCGCCACCTAAGAGGCATATACTTACTGTCTGTCTGTTCTCGTTTTTCTCAGTGAAGCGAAGCCAGTCGCCCGTCACCTTCATAATGGGCCACAAACTTGCAGCCCGTAACGACATTTCGTCTTGTCTGCCGGACACGACACCTTTAAGATCAGCTGTGAGGAGAGGATGTGAGATGTAAGCTGATTAAGTGATGATGATTAATCAGATGAATGCGTACAGCTCATGTCTGTATGTTCTCGACTTCAACTGCTTGCCGCTTTCCACTTATTTCCAAGCTACCACGTTGCTGCGGTCTCACGCTTATTCGTATTCGCTATCCACATCGTCGATTAGCTTCGGCATTGTGTCGCTTTGGATAACAGTTTATTACATCTTGCGATGGACCGTAAGACATTTATGTTTTACTTAGTTTCGGTATCACCCAGTCATTTTTAGTCTATCAAACTCATTATCCGTAGGATTGGTAGCTGTGCGGAACCTTTAGAAGACCGTGCAGTCGGAAGATTCGAGGATGCAGTGAAATTGTAGGTTTTCGAGAATCCGAACGCTTTTAAGTTCTTTGGAGCAGTTTTGCCTTGAAGGCTATAAAGGCACCGACTTGGAAATCATTCACGGCGAAACTCAGATCTGATTACTGATCAACAAACTAAACTTTCTGACAGACTACCCAACGTGCGCTCTCCGTCTTGGCGGTGATTAGGTACCACCTGAGGAGTGAATTGTTCAGAGGATATTGTAACCAACGAAGAACAGATCCTCCTGAAATTGTTTGAATACATACTTTGAAGATGTCCCACGTGCAGTCCTCACAGACCCTGGCAATGCTTATAAAGGCATTTTGAAATAATCTGCATTCTCGCAGGGCCTGAGTTTACTGCATCGATTGAATCGATGAAGATAGCAGTGTCGCTTCTTGTCAAATGCAAAATCTGACCTGAGAGGCTAAATGCCTTCGCGATAATATTCTTTGACGATGTCTTGTAGACCAGGAAGAGGCGGAAAGAAATCTGTTCTAGAAAGCCGCCATATTATTGTGCAGGAAGGGGTTGTTCGCTTGTTGAAAAGAAAGGCCCAAAGAGACCGTTGCAACTACACTGTTGAGTGCATTTTGTTAAGCGCAAAGTACTTGGGAAATGAATGCCAAGAATTGGAAAGGAAGAAGGTTCAGAAACAGCTGTTTTATTTTCGACCCAGTTGCAGCCACGATGGATAGATCTTTGCTCTCCTCCAGGTCTGCGAAAAATGCTGTATGTGATGGGAGTTTGTTATCTGCTTCATAGATCTGTAAATTGGTTAAGACTGTATGTCCCGGTTGAATTGTTTGGTGTTGCAGAAATTTTCAGGAGACGGCCAGCTAGAGGGCCATCATAGCCTTATGCGATTGCTCAGATTGCTCCTCCCCTTGTGATCAGATTTACGGAGTGAATTCGATGTTCTTCAGAATGCGTGTTGGTATCCACCATTGTTTTATGTTGCTTCTCTCATGCTCATAGGTTGTTCGTTTGTCACAGATGATCTTATCATGCCTGCTTCCGGTCTTGTTGAGGTGCAACGTGCATTTGATAGGCTTTTTGTCTCGAGAACGGTTATCCAGCATGCAGTGCAAGTTCTTGGAATGCAAATGACGCATTGGTAAAGTTTATATGTCTGGAGTAGCACCGACGAGTGACGGTAGGCAGATCGTGGGAACGGTCACACGAATGAGTATAGCGAGTGAAATGATGCAGGAACTAGCCCGTTCTGTGATGATAAAAAAAGCTGAGCAGTACTGTCAGACTACCTGT